TATATTTGTGCTCTTCATTATTTCTAATTGATAGTGATTACTATCTACTTCCCCATTTCCATTTGTTTTCTATTTTATTTTTTAATTTCTAATTGTTGTTTTGATATCTCATACTCACAGCTATAGGGGAGACAAACACCCTAGCGTCTACCCTAGAGATTTTACTTTTGTTTTCCTGGGTGGATTATCCTATGCCAAAATGAAAACACAGTGTAGACAGCTGGTGGTTTCCAGCCCCAAAGCCTGCCCCAATGTTAGGCTCCGGCATTCTATGGGAGATACCACACCACAAGGGGCTGGGGAAGAAGTCTCCCAAAGCATGAGGGGGATACAGCTGCCATAACTAGTCTATATTGTCCCTGTGCCAGGCAATGGTTTGGGGTGGTACTCAAGATATTGCTGTGGGCTGTTACATCTAAAGTATGTCTACACTGCAATTAGAGACCAGTTGCTGGCTTGTGTCAACAGACTCGGGCTCCCGGAAGTCAGGCTAAGGAGCTGTTTAATTGGGGTGTAGACTTCCAGGCTTGGGCTACAGCCGGAGCTGTGGGACCCTCCCAGCTGGAGGGGGCCTAGAGCCTGGGCTCCAGAAAAGCCTGAACATCTACATTGCAATTAAACAGTCCCTCAGCCTGATCTTGAGTCAGCTGGCACAGGCCTACCACAGGCAGCAACGGTTAAGCTGTTGTTAAGGAAGAGCAGCCACTTCGGTGGTTCTAATATATTCTGGGGCTACTACGGACCCCAGAATCTGAGACATACTGAAGTAGTTAAAAGCCTCTTTTCCTGCCTGTTCCTGGGCTGAGTTATATGTGCTGAGCCTCCAAGAGCATTAAACAACAGATTGGATGTAAGAAGGAGAAGAGCAAATATTTCTATTCATGTCTCTCCCTTGTGGAATGCTGAGCTTACCTGAAACAGCCACCATCCGCTAGAAAGCAACTTCCAGATTTAATAGAACTCAGGAGACAGCCTAAAACTGTATAATAGCAAGAGACCCTAAACCCCTTTATCAACATTTTCACTGCTACTAATTAGTAAGAAGTGACAAAGGCTTGTAATTGAGTGTAGTTGGCTCCTTCATAGAATCATAGAATCATAGAATATCAGAGTTGGAAGGGACCTCAAGAGGTCATCTAGTCCAACCCCCTGCTCAAAGCAGGACCTTCACTGGAAGAGAACGGTCAAATAGCCCCTAAAAGTCTTAGACAGACTCCTCACCAAATATAAACATTTCTCCCCTTAATTTTATTCTTCAGTTGGTGTTGGCTCACTACCCCATACACAGTGAGTGAGTTCACAGTTTTGGTGATCCCTCCATTAGGGCATATTAAATCCAATTCTCCTGCCCTTCAGTCACACAATAAAAATAACATTTCACAGATTCATAGATTCCCAGACCAGAAGGGACCATTGTGATTTCATAACCCCAGCATCTAAGTGTAAATGAATTTTAATCAAAACCAACCAAAATGTATCACTGTGGCAAATCTGGTGACCCGAAAAGGGTGTAGACGCCGTGGGGGTGAATGTCACTTTTGGCGGTGTCCCACCAATGCTAGATACCTTGACAAATGCTTTTTTGGCCATTGCTGTCAAAGGTAAGCTCAGCGTTCCATAAGGGAGACCCTGCAGTGTGAGCAGAACTGCTCAGTACTCTCTTTTCAGTTAGGAGCTGATGAATCCTTCCGTCCTTAAATAAGGTCTGCTCAGGAGGTTTAAATAAGATCTGCTCAGGAGGTTTGTTCCTACAAAAACAACAAGGAGTCTGGTGGCACCTTAAAGACTAACAGATTTATTTGGGCATAGACTTTCGTGAGTAAAAACCTCCTATGCATCCGAAGAAGTGAGGTTTTTACTCACGAAAGCTTATGCCCAAATAAATCTGTTAGTCTTTAAGGTGCCACCAGACTCCTTGTTGTTTTTGTAGATACAGAGTAACACGGCTACCCCCGATATTTGTTCCTACAGTTCATCTATACTGGATAGGAGAGAGCTCATTCCAACCCATGACTTCACTTTCTTCCAAATACTTCCTGTTGTCATATGCTGTACTGGGCTTCTAGCCTTTCTGATATCTTTAGGTAAATAGCCAAGTGTATGCTGTGGGACCAGATAGACAGGCTCATGCACGAAGAAGAAAACTGGTAAGGTTAGGACACCACAAGTGCCAAGGAAGTGTTTAAAACTCTTAGTTGTTAACAATAACAAGAATAAACAATTTCCTTCTAATGGTTTTTGAGTAGTTAGGAGAAAATTGTGGTTGAAGATTCCACAGACTGACCCTTTCATTCCAGGGCAGAGGAACCTGACAGACTTTTCTCTGTGCTCTCCAAAGAGACCTCCAGCAAAAGAGTGATGATCAGACTTGACTTTCCTGATATTTCTGAGTTAAATCACAAGCAGAAAAAAAACCACTCTCAAAAACGAAGACCTTCAGGTTCACTGATGCCTTATAAAGAGGCAAAATGGGGCACAGGCCCAATGTAATTTTCTCCTTTCCAATTAACCTGCAGTGACCTGGATTAAATATTGACAAGGCATTAAGAGGGTAGGTGAATCTTCCTCAAACTTCAGTAAAGGTTCACTCCAGCGTCCAGTCGGTTCTGAAAGGAGGCCAAGATGAGGTTTGTTGGCAGAGGAAGGTGAAGAGGAGGCGTTTCTTATTGTTTGTGCAGAGGGTGACTGTTATTTATCTGGAGCTGTTCGTCCATCCTGAACTGTGACATCCTCATTCTTCATCCCCTCCCAAACCCAGGGGTGGTCATCAGTGCTACAGCCAGGCACATGCTTGGGTTCCAGTCAGCAGCTGGAGGGAAAACAGCACCTGTGTGGAAAGAAGAGGACTGAGCTTGTGTCCCCACTGGGCACGGAATCGTCCAGTGTCCTCATCATGTCTCCGTGGAGAAAGAGGGGACTGCTGCCTCCCTCCACCCACCACAGACAACTGCAGTAGGGTGTAATGACTGAGGGATTAGATGGACAGGTCACCCCTGCTCCAAACCCCTTCCAAAGAGACATATAAACCTGGACAAGGCACTCAGGAGAGAAGCCCGTCTAACATTACATGTGGTGAAGCATAAGGTTAGATGAGTTTAAACATGTGTGTTGGCTCTTTGTTGTCTTAAGTTCATTTTCTGTAATTCTTTCTTACACTTGCTAAATAAATCCACTTGTTCTCAGATGGTTGTTTGCCACTATATAGCTCTTGTGACAAGCTCCCAAAGGCAAGTGGCACTAGTGAGCCAGACCTGCATGGTAATAAGTGGTTGGTATAGACGGGGTGTTGTACATAAACCCTGGTTACAGAGTATGTCTGCACTACAGTCAGAGGTGTGTCTGCAGCCCATTTAGATGTACCGAGCTAGCTTTATCTACCTAGCTGGATAAACTATAACAATAGCAGTGAAGCCACGACAGCTTGGACAGCAGCATGGGCTGCAAAAGTCTTTCCGGGGCCCTGGATACATATTTGAGTTACAAGCTTCAGCTTCTGTGTCATCACTGCTATTGTTACCTCAGGTAGCTAGACCAAGTGTGTGTACGTGTGCTGCAATCAGATCTCCTACTGCAGGGTAGACATATCCTGAGAGTGGGAGACTTGTAAATTTCCATTGTAGGACAGGATAGTGCCCAAGGCCCAATGCCTGAGGGGGACATTCAGAGACCAGTGAGAGCGCAGAGGTGCAAGCAGCCCTGTACTTTTGATATCCTATCCATCATAGAATCTTTTCAATTTTTCTTACATTTTCCTAGGCAGAGTGTGAAGCCCAATCACGTCTTCTTCTCTCCTACCTGAATCATGTGAATGAGATGAACCCTGTGAGGTGCTTAGCACCAGTAGGCACAATTTGTATCTGTACTTTAGACTATTATTGTTGAAACTGAGGGTTTGACATGAAATTGTGTCAAGTTGGCCAAGCACAACACTGCAGGGAGGCCGGTGGGAAGTGGCCTGCAGAAGTAAGTTGCTGATCAGAGCTAAACCAGCAGGAGTCCGTTATATGTCCCAAGACATTTTGCACAAACCACAGCGGCCTAACGTGTCTTACAAAATCTGGGATGGCACAAGACGTTTTGCACAAAGACCATGGAATTTTCCACAGACAGAGCTGCAAGAATTCCAACGTCCAAATTGTGGCTGGACAGTTCAAATCTCCCCCAGAAGCAGGAGTCATTTTCTGATTGGCTGACAGCGGCTTTGCCAAGAAAACAAGCCTTCAGTAACTGTATAAAACAGGCTGGTTTGGTCAAAGTGTCACTCCCTGAAGCTGAAATATCTGGACGAGAAAGACAGTGAGCAGGACTTTCATCACCTGGCCACCAAGAGCACCCCCTATCTGGTGAGTATTATAGTAACTTCTCTCATAATCACCCTTTTAATTCTTCCTTTAAAGTCCTGGCTAGGAAGATGGCTGTGAGATCCAGAAAGAGAAGAAGAACATAGTTGTCATAACCCCTTGAGTGAGTGAACTACCTCAGTGAATTTTCTAGGTATTTTGAGAAACCAGTTAGTGTTCTGAGAGGCTGATCTGGAGAACATGCCTTCATGCCACTTTGAATGGAGAAGTAAAAAGCTACAAGTGTTACATTTACTCACAATGAAAAGTTGGTTATTTAAAAGCTACCTCAGTTAAAACCATCTACAGAATAATTCCAGTTATCCAAATTCCTTTTATTGGGAAATCCTAGTTATCCAAATTCACAGTGTGTCCCCCTGCAGCCCTGTGTTAATTCATCACCCATTGATGAACTAACCTTAAGCCTCTGGGATCTACAATTTGGGAATATTTCTGGAGTTAAGGATAAGGACAAAGAGCAAGGGAGTGGAGGGGATGATGGAGAAGATAGCGGAGAAGAGAAAAGGTGGGGGAGAGAGCGAGAGAGAGAGAGATAACAGGCAAGAAAGAAACAGATAAGAAGGTTAAGGTGAAGACTGAAAGGAGAAGGATTGAGAGAAAGAAAGGCCAGTGGAGACAGAAGAGGAGTTCAGCGAAAGAGAGCAGGCAGGAGGGCAGGGAATGAAGACAGCAGGGTGGAGGAGAGAAAAGGGGAAGGAAGGAAGGAAGGAAGGAGAGATGCAGGAAGAGGGACTGTATCCGCATAAGACAGAAGCCTTTTTTGTGCTGCTTCAGTGCTACCAAGCACTGTCAGCCCTGGCCTCTGTAAGCGCAGGTACAGATAGTGAGCGGTGGGGCCGGTTCCCTCCTCCATCTCAGAGTGCTGGAATATTGCATAAAGATGATCATCTAACCACCTTTCTTCTTCTTTCTGTAATTTCTTATTGCCTTTAAGTGCTGTGTTAATCATATAAAGTATGTAACTGTGCAATAATTCTCCACTCTACACTGACAGAAAGAGGAAGAAGCTTTGAATTGGCTGGTAAGGGAAACATTGTTTCCACTATTTGAATATTTAGATACCTTTGAATGTTTAGTAAAAGTGGCCTAAGACCGAAGGTTACTGGTAAAATTCCAGAGAAATTGGAATAGTTGCAAAATGAGAGGTTCTCAGAGGGGAAGGGGCATGTCACATTTTCTAGGTGGGAGCGTTGAGCCTTCTAGGAATTCAGTAATTATACAGTGTCACAACGCCACTCACTCATATTTGGCCCACCTGCCCTTCCCCATCATGATGGAGGAACATCTGGGCCAAATTTGAGTTAAATTGATGTTAGCTGATTTAAACCATTATCTGCATGATATGTCTAGGGCTTAATGTGTGAGAACTAATTGAATTGTCAGTCTTAGTACTTATGTAATCTGTCTGATTTCTTTGGTTGGAGTGGCACAGGCACTCCCATGATTCCATTGTCAAACAGACTGATCTGAAATGAATAAGAACCTGCATTTAAGCATTCCTACTTCAATGCTGGTAGCAAAGTCACCTCCCCAGTATAGTAAAGAACTAGGATAAAGTTTTCCTAGGTAATAAGATTGAGATAACACCTGAAATGAATTGATGTGATTTATTATTTTTTTGGTAAATTGTAACATCACATGATGAATTAATTAATAGAAATTTCATAAACATGAGCATCCAACCACCTTTATTTTGCTCTTATAATTTCTTAATTGTTTTCAATTCTATTTTGGGCAATAAAACATGTAAATGTGCAAAATTCTCCACTCTGTACTTTGGCTAAGGAAAAAAGAGATTTCAATGAGCAATGCAATGCAAGTAATTGGTAAATTAAAATTATTTACAAAACATCTATTTTTAAAAGATACCTTGCTTCATAGAATTATATTTCTTTGAAATCCTCCTAGGACATCTATTGTGCTGTGTAGATAATAATCAGAACACACATTAAAATATTATTTGGATTAAAGCAATATTTGTATAGCTCAGCATGTCACATTCCCCAGTGTCCTCTGTCACCTCTCTATCTTGGTGTCTCTTCTTTCCAGTGACGCTCAGTTCCCGGCCGACCTTCAGCCATGAAGTTCCTTTACCTGCTCTCTGCTATTGTCTTCTTGGTGCTCATGGATGCCCCAGGTAAGATGTCAATGGAAACAAGCAATGATAGAAACGGATATTGTGGAGCCTGTACTAATGTTGCCTACCACTACCAAGTAGAAAAAAAATGTCCTCCTTTTCTTAGGAGCTCTCGCACCTGCCACCAAGAAAAAACATTCAGATTTGACTGAATTATGATCAGTCAAAAAAAAAAATCCATGTCCCCTCAGTCTTTTCCTCAGATCTTGCTGAGGCTTCCTGCTTGAGCTACCCACCCCCATTCTATCTGCACACCATGTACCCTTCTTATAACGGGCAATCACAGAATCTAGATGTGATACTGACACAAAGTCTGGCCAACTCCTTTCAATATACCCTTGGGTTTGGGAGAAGATGCACAGGGCTAGGGAACAGGAGACCATGAAATGAAATGTAACTTCTGCTGCTGACTTGTGTTAAAAATTCTGTGATTTTCACCACCTGACTTCTTATGAATCAGGTCTCATGTCCTACTCAGAGGTTATGCTGTTGGGCACAGAACCCAGATCTCCAAAATGGCAGTCGTTCATCTCAGTGTCTTAGCCCGACTGGGTCTCAAAACCTTCCACAACAACATGCTTGGCTTTGTTTTGAGAAATGATGTCATCTGGGTTTGGGACAGTGGTTGCAGCCATGACAATGCATCATGTAGGAATGCAGTTTCTATCCATTGGCTGTATATAGTTTTGTGAAAACACAACAAATGCTCTAAACTAAATATTCTAAAAGATTTGGCTGTGCACATTGGGGCTGCCTTTTCAAAATAGCAGGTCAATTGGGTATAACCAAACACTGGCAATTGGTCATGAAAGAACAATTCCTGAGTGCATCTTGTGAAGAAAATCTGAGCAGAATCGCAGAGACGGGCAGACGTTCAAAA